ATCAACGGAGCCGGCCCACACTCCTTCACAAGCAAACACAAGCACGCTGTATTTAGGGAATCAAGCGCACACAAGGTGGTGGCTGGATCGTAGTCCGTTCCACACTTAGTGCATGGAACTACTCTTCGAGCCTAGCACGACCACAACGACCGTGCACTCCGTCCCCTCCAGCAACGACCAACTGTCTCCTGTTGCCAGTATGGACGAGGTAGTGGGTAATAGACAGGTAGGCACCTTGTCAACATGCGCATCAAGCGCAGCCACATCTGGGATGTCAAACAACGGCCAATCACTTGAAATGATACTATCAAATAAAATAGATATATTAAAGAATACTGCTATGTAGGCATAACACTTCCCTAAATTAGCGTATGAGGTTGGTTAGCAACGAATCCGCGATAAGTACAAATGTCCAGAAGTGACTCAAAAATGCTACAGACGCAATAAAGTTAACGAAGATAACCACAATTAAGGTAAGCAATATGGCCAGTTAATAGAAGATAAGTAAGGTAAGCATAAACAAAACAAATAAAGTGGATGAAATTTGTCCAGATTAAAAAGACATAGTTTAAGTGTAAGTTGGTTTAGCCCACTTGTGGTGGAGAAGCATCATAAATACAACATCAGGCTCAGCTTGAAGGTAACAATCATCAATACGCACATGGTCCTGTTTCGTTACAACATAATTCCATTTTGGATGAATTCTGTGCCGGCAATATTGCAGAGGAGTATTGACAATTTTGTGAAAGGAATACCCGTTACATGTGTATATCTAGAGGACAACCTAATTTCTGGTAGCACTGAGCACGGACACGTGACATCGCTTGTGAGGATCTTGAAACGTCTCCAAGACAGTGGACTCAAGCTGAAGGAATTCAAATGTGTATTTTTCGGCGTGTTCGGTACCATGGAGTCCGTTTGAATAAACACGGTTTTCACAAGCTAAAAGAAAAATTCAGTCCATCGTAGACTCTACGAGACCACACAATACCAGAGAACTGCACTCCTTTCTTGGTATGGGTACACACTCTAATCGCTTCCCACCCGATTTAGCCGCCAAGTTCGCACCCCTGCACGGTTTAATATGAAAAACGCCAAGTGGCAGTGATCAGCTTAAGAGAAAAAGTATTATGATGCTGTTAAGGCAGCCATGGATAAGTCTAATCTGCTAGTACATTTTGATCCGAGGAGGTCCATCACTCTCCGATGTGACGCCTTAGAATCACCGCCGTAGTGTCCCACAAGCTAGATGCCAAGACCGAGAGACCCATCGATTTTGCCTTTAGGAGCTTAGCGTCAGCATCAATATCTGGTATAAAGAATCATTGGGGAAGAAGTTTCGAAATCTTTACTGATCATAAACCCCCAATAGCCTTGATTGGTCAACATAAAAAAGATGTCATCACCCAGTATGCAATGTTGGGCCTTATTGTTATCGGCTTACAACTACACTAGCTCCTAAGTCCCTGGAAAAGTAAGCGGCATTACAGATGCCATGAGACAGAAGCCGTTGCATCATCTACTCGATTGTGTATTGGAATCAACTGGACTAGCTTATTTAATTCATCACGTGACCAGGAAGCCGGTGCTGAACGCGGATATTCGCCGGGACACAGAAAGTGCTGTACCCATCAGCAACATTTGGTCTTCAAAGGATGGACCGATAAAGGTGACGGGGAATTGTTGTCCTACTTCACCTGACGTACAGAAGTCCGCCTCGAGAATAGCCCCCTTTTATGGGGATCCAGAGGCAGTATACCGCCCCGCTTACCACAGTATGTGCTGGAGGAATTGCACAAAGCTCACCCAGGTATAGCCAGAATGAAAGGGCTCGCGCGGCCTTGTGTGTTGGCCCGGCATTGATAGTGACAGGAAGATTGAACAGGCACTTGGAAGTATCTTAAAGTACAAAAAGAAACCCCCATCGGTGCCACTGAGTTCAAGGAAATTGCCCAACAAGCGCATACATGCAGGCTACTTTGGTCTGGTTGATGGCAAGATATTTCCTCTTATAATCGATGCCAAATCCAAATGGATTGAGGTATTTTCACTGACACATGCCGCTTCCGAGCCAACTGTTTCCTGCATGCAAACATGTTTTAAAATATTCAGTATTCCACACACTACTTAAAGACAACGGCTCTGTATTCACTAGATAAGTCTAGAGAGTTCCCTCCAAATAACGGCATCAGACATGTGAAGAGCGCCCCTCACGACCTAGTCTCAAATGGACTAGCGGAAAGAGCAGTCCAGACAGTAAAAATCGGGTCGTAGAAACAATCACCCGCTCCACTTCGAACGAAGTTGAACAAATCGCTATTCGCTTACCAAATGAAACGACAGGCAAGAGTCCAGGCGAACTGATATTCGGTCGAATAGTTAGCTCGGATCTAAATCTACTGTGATCCTATCAGAAAGTACGCGTCGAGGTACGGCAAGCGAAAGCAAATGTGAGGTGCGCTGTGGGAGTGCATACATGCAGGCTACTTTGGTCCGGTTGATGGGAAGATATTTCTCCTTGTGATCGATGCCTACTCCAAATGGATTGAAGTATTTTCGCTAACACATGCCACTTCCGAGCCAACTGTTTCCTACATGCGAACATGTTTTAAAACATTCGGTATTCCACACACTACTGACAGACAACGTGATATGGTCGCACCAGATAGACTTAATCGCGATGGTTCACACCGACTCCTGACTGAGAGGCTAAGGTATTGAGAGAACACGCGACACTGGTGAGTAGTATGTGTATTGAGTACACAAAACCCCAGGGGCCAAAAATGCCAATAGCACAAATCCGTGTGAGGTCGCATTGCACATGCACTTTTGATTCCGTTACACTATCTTCGGAACGGAAGATTTCATCACCACGTGCACGTGTACTTAAATCCGAGGTCAACCTAATAAAACCTAGTTTTATCGAGATTGCCTTGGATACCACATCCTCACATCGTGTAATTGAGTCGCGTGACTTACATCACGACCGAGGTCAACAAAACAAAACTGTTTCATTCTTATCAAGATTGTCTCGGATAACACATTCTCACATTGTGTACTTCTCTTCCCCTTGACCTACATTCACACATCGTACTACGTACGGCCCACATGTTTGAACGCCTGAATGAAGTGTTATATAAAACCGTATAGTACATCGACAACGACATTCCCCCGACCGACTACAACGAACGTCACACGACCGTCCCGACTGGTGCTTTGACAACCGTCAAGAAAAGCGCTACGCCCACGACGACAAGACAATCATCACACGACCGGACTGGCCGCGACCTACAATTTCCCCACGAACAGGATTTGTGCTGTGAGATAAGTCACCACTTTCTCATTACCTTATTTTTGAGTAACACTATTAAATTCTATCTCGTACATTGTATTCTTAGGGCCGGCCTATCCTTTTTATATCTTTACTGTACTGATACATAACGAACACGCCTCAATACTATATTTCATTTTTGTTAGTGCACACCTTCTGATATTTTCAAGCCGCCAACTAGTCGTAGTAATCTACTAAGCCACTAACATCCGCGAGCGTCCATGATAGTTGAAATATGTGCAATTTTATAGGTGTTTTTCACAAGTGTTTCATGTTGTGTGGGCCAAAAGGACAATAACAATGTTCTGTTGCATAAAACAAACACACTGTTCTGGTTTTTGGCGAAAACATGCCAACTCTGTGTAATTCACATGTAGACATTTGGTGCACACAAATTGAAACATGTTTGGTTCCGTGTTCTAATTGCACGTACAAGTTCGAACACAATTCGGTGGCCCAGTCTGGTTTCGACTATCCAAAAACCCCTTGATCTTATTCGGGTTAGGTTTTGGTTCTAACCCTAACACAATGGTTCTGTATGCACTAGTCAAGTTTCGAGAGTTCCTTCCGAATAACGGCATCAGACATGTGAAGAGCGCCCCTCACGACCTAGTCTCAAATGGACTAGCGGAAAGAGCAGTCCAGACAGTAAAAATCGGGTCGTAGAAACAATCACCCACTCCACTTCGAACGAAGTTGAAGAAGTCGCTATTCGCTTACCAAATGAAACGACAGGCAAGAGTCCAGTCGAACTGATGTTCGGCAGAAGAGTTAGCTCGTGGCTAAATCTGTTCTCTGTTCCGATCAGAAACTACGCGTCGAGGTACGGCAAGAGAAAGCAGAAGGGAGGTACGATCGAAAGGTATCAGCTTGATGACTTCGTGAGGACGAGCCAGTTTACGTTAAACTGACCTACGAACTGACTTGACAGTCTGCAGAGTTACGCGGAATTGAAGGTGAGAGTAGAGGTGGCACTACCGGGAGGCACGGTGGTTACTCGTCATGTGGATCACGTCCGCCGTCGATCCGTTTCGACCGGGAAGGACGACATATTGCCAAACAGAGCCAGCAGTCGCGGAAGACACATGGAACACAAGCCAGCCAGACGCCCAACCAATGGGCCGTTCGACTAGAGTACACCATCCAGTTGGTAATAAGCAGGCTGTCTGGGTGAGTGCCAACCAAAGGAAGGAGGAATGTGGCGAGCGAATGAATCAACATCATCAATCCGTGTTCACACCCAGCATTAACCGTGTACGTGGATTACCACCAGTGGCTTAGCCTCGATTATTTGATCGATGCTCTGTACGCATTCTGGCCGAAACAAACATTTGCGTGCTGTCAGCGGATTGTATTCTGTTGTCCTTGCGTCGTTCTGCTATGAGCTATTAGTGCGTTCGCATGCTAGCGTTAGTTTCGCACGTGTAGACTCTGACGGTAAGTAACCTCAGGTTGGGAGCTGGTACACTATTGGCCCAACAGTAAGTAAGAACAAGAAGCAAGTCAGTACAACCTAGTAGCAGTACCACGAAATCGGAAGGTGCGAAGCGCATGTCGTAGTGTGCAATGCCATGCATTAACCTAGGGAAGATCTGTACAGAAACGACTGCCGACTCAAAGACTACAAGGGCGTTCGCATATTTGAACGTTAGCTACGCAACAAGGTGTTCTCTAGCAATGGTTTATCCGAGTAACAGGCGTTTCATGGGACCAGGAAACGAGGGGCCAGCGTAAAAAAGAAGGAAGAGGCCTCCTGGAGTGTAGGTCTGCGGAATACGCGAGTAAATGCACAGTGCCAGACGACACATGGAAAGATGCTGAGAATCGCAGAAATGGGATAATCTGGAAACCACCGAGATAATCATAAGGAAAATGTAAGGGACAAATGCCGATGCCATTACAACTGTATGAGTATGAGAAAATAGACAAAATCAGAGAGTGGGTAAATCAAGCGATATAACATAGAGACTATTTGGCACACCAGGGGAGTGGTAGTGGGGTTCTAAAGACTAGGAGTCGATTTCATAGAGGATGAATCTTGTCAACCAGGACAATGATTATACAAAATACCGACCAGACAAGGAGGAGCAAAATCCAAACAAAATGCTGGAAAGGCGAAGCGAATGTGGTTGGAACTCGTAGACGTCGGGACGAGGTCCACAACCACACAAAACGGCTCCATATCACAGAACAAATGCGGCCAGTTTGGAAATGTGCACCGCCAACTTCGTTTTGGTGTGTATGAAGCAGTTCCGTCGCCTCCTCGTTTTCGATTGATGAGGAGTCGTCAGAGGAGGAGCAAGTGTCAATTATCGTCAGCATGTTAAAGAAGTAGCTGCGAGCCCTATAAACAAGCAGTGCTGGAATTATGTACTGGATGGCGGATCCAGCAAATGCACCTGTGAAACCGACAAGGAAGCCGATGTTCGCTGTCCAAAGAGCAACGCAAACGGGAGGCAGAATAACGACGAAAGGCAGTGTCCAACGAAGTAGTCCCAACCCAACAGGAGTGCGACAGGTTGTACACATGCCGACCAACGTGTGCAAGTTGCCCAAAAGTGTGCAACACAGTATGGGAAAAGTGGAACTTAGCGCAAACACAGGAAACAAGGAAAGAAAGTAGCCAAACACCTTGGCCAACGTGTAAGAAATACCGAAAGCCACAGCAGATTGTTCGCTGGGAACAAAGTTGAGAGTGTACAAGTCCTTGATCTCATCAAAAGCGGCAACTGCGGTGCCCGACAGAAGCAAATTGAAGGAAAGTACACAGAGGAAAAGTGGGATAAAAACGCGCAGAATGATGTTCTTTTTGTTTCTGATTGGTGTCACCAAACCCGGAATTGAGTGGTGGCACATAAAGGCGTAGACGCATACACCGAACAAATTGGGTATCCCTTGAGCGCGAACCAAAGGGGGTTTCGGAATAACTGCAGGCTCAGAGGCTTGGAGTATTAGTGGATGCAAGGCGGGATTCCACAAGCGGGATAAGGTGAGATCCGATGTGGACAGCTGTCGGCGAATCACAATGGCTCGATCGATTGCCAGACAAAACATTAGCAGGAATGAGATCCAACGAAGTGCAGTGGTGATCAGTTGCAACCAACGAGATCGAGTCACGTGGAAGAATAAAAAGGGTAGCATGCACGTAGCGAAGCAAACCTATGGAAGGGGAGAAGGGCGGAAAAAGTGTATGCGAAAACCAGATGACGACGCTAGCGGTAGTTATCTGAAAATACACGAAACAACCTTAAAAGCTACGGTTACCGAGCAAGACAATTGAACAAAAGGTGGTTGAGGTTTAGATCAAATGGTTCCATTATAGGTCACCTGAAGAGGTATACATTCTAGGATAAAGTACATAAACTGACAGGAATGTGAGTTGATAAAATTCCCAAACTTATCAGAAAGCGGGGCGTAAACGAGGAAACACTGGGTCATTCGGGTGTCCATCGCCTTCATACACAATGGCCTGTGGATAAATAACTGATGATAATTAAGAACAGATGGATGCCAGGCGGCAGTCACCAGCTTCTTTCTGTACGTGGATTGCCAACTGGCAACCGTGAGTTAATGGTTTGAGGAGACAAGGGAGTGGGTGTCAAAAAAGAAGTGACAGCCTGGTGCGTACAGTAGAACCGCATCAATAAAAGAACGGTGCGCGCTTACCGATAGGCATATGCAAGCGCTACGAGAACCACGTGCTGGAGACGTAGTTGTAATAAAGCCGGAGAAGGGCTCAGGCGTGGTAGTCATGAATAAAAACAGATCCAGAAGTTGAGTATCATACTCAATGATAGTAACAAAGTCCAGTGATTGTGAGAAGGCAGACGAGGTGACTGTGTTCTAATCCCGCGTACTTCATTACCCGGTAATTCCCCTCCAGTGTCGCATGATCGACAATAGAAATTATAACAGATTAGAGCCGAGTGGCCCAACTAAACCGCAGATATACGGGCTGCCAAAGATGCATAACAGTGGGGTGTCACGCAGACCAATCCTTTCGATGGTAAACGCATATCAACATAAGCGAGCTCGCTGGTTAGTGCTTTCTCTGCTAAGAGCTCAGTTCAATACATACGGCCACAAAAATGCATTCAGACTAATCGAAAACAGTGAGAAAATGAGTCTATCCAACAAAGTGATGTGTTCCTTAGATGTGGAATACTTGTTTATCAAAGTCCCACTGCACCAGATGATAGATAACATTCGTGAAATGGCAGAAGTTCTCGGCTGTTCGTTATTGGTACCGATTGAGTTACTAGGAGAATCATTGCTTCTGGGTACACAGAATGTGGCATTTCATTTAAGGTACACAATAAAGTCAATTTGATAGGGTAGCCATGGGCAAACTGCTGGATCCCAAATCTAACGGATTTCCTAATGCTAATGGTAGAGTGAGAGATATCCGAAGAACAAGCTCCGATCCTGGAGGGCTTTGGTGTGGCTCTCTCCCATCCCTGCACTCCACGACCGACGGTTTTGTCATGGCTTGGGCTTATCAGGTAGAGATAGCCGAACTGGGAGTGGAACTCGGCGCATGGTGCTTGGCGGCTATCGCCATGATTACCAAACCATTGAGCCTCGTGGTTAGCAGTTGATTCTCGGGGTTTGCAGCACCGGGAATGTGTCTTGATTTGCGATACGCAATCTCAATTGTGATCTCGGTTCACTTTGAAGTCAGCCTCCGCTAATACGATTACTGGGACCGTGTGTGGCTCTCTCCCATCCGTGCAATTCATGACTGGCGGTTCGTCCTGGTTTGACTAACCAGGTATAGAAATCAGCCAAGCGCTGCGCGCCGAATTCCGCCCTCAGCTCTATCTGATGAGTCCAAACCAATACGAAACCTTCAATCGTGAAATGCATGGATGAGAGAGAGAGCCACATCGAAACCCTCTACTTCATTGACGGTCCCAGTAATAGTACTGGCAGTGGCCAACGTCAAGGTCAACCGAGATCACAAGTGGTAATTCGTGTGGCAAACCAAGGCACACCGCCGGTGCTCCGAAACCCGAAAATGAAGCTCTGATCTTGTTTTCTTTGTCCGCTATGATTCCGATGGCACTACAGCTGTCATACTACAAACACTATATAGATGATATCTGGGAGTTTTGTACATCAGAACGGAAGCAAACGCAGCTAGTCACGTGATGAAATGTTGCGCATGCCAACTTTACTTTAGTACGAAGTTGAGCAACAGAACTACCTGCCCTATGTTCTCATCAGCAGAAGGGCGAACGGACAAACTGAAAGAGCTATCTACTGAGAAGCAACGTTGTCCGGCTGGTACATGCAGTTTACCATTTTAACGTCAATGCGGTAAAACCTTGACTCTACTCGATGAACTGGAGCTGATTACTAATACGCTAATTGCAAACGGCTGCCCAAAGAGATTCACAGACAAACACAGCCAACTTAGCGGAATGACAGACCCGGTGCCAACTGTACCTAAGAATACGATATTATCAGAATTGCCTTTCAAAGGTAGCATAGCAACACGGAAGACTATGACGCAGCTAGACTCTGCTACACAGAACACTTTCAGTGCTACTGCTAGTCTGTGCCTTGTAAGATCGCAAGACTGCCTTGTAATCAGAGAACGACGGTTCCAGACTGTACAGGAAAATAGCAGACCATCACAGTATCCTTAATATACGCGCGACTGTTGATCGCTGCGCGGGAGCGATGCGTCCGTGCTACGTATCGGCGTACAGCTGATGCCTTTTCTCAGTGGTACAGAAGATGTTATCATCGGTGGAATTCACAAGCTGCCGCTACGTCCACTGAAGGAATTTGTCTGTCGGGCGAACTCTCATTGTGTATGCCAATTCGTATTGTAGTGATGCAGAAGACAAGAATCACAAGCGAGACGGAAAAACCACGGCAACTAAGAAAGTGGGTAACAAATGTGGGCACTAAAGACGAAAGTCGGCAAAGCGACTCGAGGTGAACGCAACAATGAATGGGTCACGAGCGACGAACGATATCGGACGTACGCCGCGAAGAGTGGGAGAGAGTGGAGAGTTCGACTTTTTGTAGAGATACGCTTGTGCTTACGGCTCCAGGAATAGCTCCAATGAAAGCGACACAACCAAGATTCAGTAAGTCAAGAGCATTAGGACGAATCCAGTCGGGGTAGAATACGACGGGCGGAGGCGAAGATACCAGGGCAAATCGATGAAAAAGACTTTGCGGATTGGACGTAATCGGGGCAGGAATGGGATGCCGACCGAGAAGATAGTGTGTAGTGTGTTGTGGGATGGAAATATCATCTATAATTGCGCGCGCATATTAGCCTGGTAACCCGTTGTTAATGGACACGACAGTTACCATTCTAAAGCACTTATGCAGTCCCAAATCGTGCTAAAAAGAGAAGCAAGTTTAGTCAACAAAGAGTCATCTCCATCGTTAAGCAAAGATGGAGGAAGTTGCTGTGTCCAAGAGCCTTGTTTCGTTTAAACACGGTAAGCTCATGTCGAATCGCTTCCGAAGTGGGAGGTGTGACATCCACTTCCCACATCAGCTCAGGCGATTTGGCAAGCAGCAGGACTGCTGTAAGTTTGGAACAGTGGAAGAAAGATGTGGTGACTACGAAGGTCGGTGCAAACCCATACGAAATAAATGTTGAAGGGAAGACGCTCAGAAGGAATCGAGTGCATTTGAGATGACACCGGAGACAACAATGTGGATCGGAAGTGGAGCGACGTATGGAGTGAAGAGAGCAAGGTCGCAGACACAGAGTAGATGACGCCGAGTGACAAGGTGTACGGCAATATGGAAGGGCGCAAACAGAAAAAGGGGTGTGTGGTGGGAGTCTCATTGCAGAGTGAACGGATGGACCAACCGGGCGAGCAAGACAGCCAATGGGAGATGGGTGTAACGGATTCGATTACTAGACAAAGATTAGACGACATTCGTGTGAGTCATTCACCGTTTGCTTAACTGAGTTAAAAGATGAACTTCATCGACTCAGAAGGGTCGTTTGTTATGCACGTGAACGTGCAACTTATATGAAGGAGATTGCCTTGTCAAACATGCTATGATTTTCGCTGAGTTGTCTCCGCCGTATAAACACTTGTCCCTGAAGGACAAAGTTCGCCAACAGGCCGCTTGGCTTAAGGGAGTGCTAGCAAACCATTTAGCACCGGAAGGTGCCAACCCATCGTCAGAGGAAATGCGCGGCGCCGGTGATCCACGCCAATTGAAGTACGAACTTATGACTCGCTGACAAGTTGTTTCCCGTGGCTGCTTTAAAGGAAGAGGACCATCAACCTCTTTCTAACCTCAGAAAATTGGATTGTGAGACTGAGTCAGTCTGACCCCTAACCATTGTTCAGTCTGATATGAGTGGCTATGAGGACACTTGGAAAGCGCCACCCAACGTAGCTCAATGGGTCGCGAAGGTATGCAAACTATCGCACCACGCTGAGATTCAGTGTCGGTGCGATGATTTGTATCTAATGTCCTTGACTTTCTCAATCGGGGTTGTGTCGCTCTCCTTGGGGGATATTCTTGGAGCCGTAACCGCAAGTGTCTCCCCAGAAAATCGGGCTCCACTACTACGTCGCTCACTCGTCTCGATGTGGGCCCGATATCGTTTGTCGCTTGTGACCACTTCCTGGCTTGTTGCGTACATCACGAGCAGCTTTGCCGGCCTTCGGCTCTGGTGTCCGCATTAGTTTCGCTTCCTTATTTGCCGTCTCGCTTGTAATTCTTGCCCACCGCGTCACTATGTATCTACGAAGCTAATTACATGCGCAGAACCGATAGGACCCCGAGTTCCCAAAAGAAGAATCGCATGCCGAAGTGGGTTTAATGTGAGAGCGCAGTAGGCAACTCCAAATCCGACTGCACGTCCACGCAACCTACCGCCACCATCGACCACCGGGAGCTTATTGGCCTCAGGCCACATGGTCGAGTTTAACGGAATCCAGAGTTCTGGGGCGTCACATCAATTCATTGAATCGCTGATGCCCTTGCAATGAACCCGCGCTTTGCGTCCATAAGATTTTGTTGGTCAACCTCGGACTGTTCCGGACGTAGTGGTACGACTTCCGTTGTTTTTCTTGCCGATAATTTTTACGATGCTTTTGCAACATTTAACTGCTTTAACTACAAGTTACTGTTTTTGACATTGACGAGACGGTACGAAATGTAGG